TATTCCAAACCTTCTTCCTCGACCTAACTCTGACTACTCCCCATCTCATTCTTGCACTGAAACTTTAGAGGAACTATTGCCCCATCACTCACACATACAGGAAGGCACATTACCTCAGGCCATCTATACCTGGTATGCTGATGACAGCTCCTTTGTGCATGAGGAAGCTCAAACAGCAGGCTATGCCATAGGGTCAGATACTGAGGTGGTTGAGGCGCAAGCCCTCCCTGCCCACACCACTAATCAACAGGCCAAACTAAATGGAAGGCCGCACCTTCCAATTGTCCCAGGGATAATCCCTTAACATCTACATAGACACTAAATATGCCTTTTATATTCTTTTCTCCCATGTTGCCATCTGGAGAGAGCATGGGTTGCTTATAGCAAAGGGCGGATCTCTAACTAATGCAGATCAAATTATGGCCATGATAGAAGCATTCCACCTTCCCACAGCCATCAGAATAGTCCACTTCCAGTCCCCCTGGACAGACGATTCCATCATTAACAAAAGAAATAACTGGGTTGACAAGGCAGCTAATGCTGTGGCCTAGACTCATTCCATCCACCACAGGACATCCTTACACTACAACCCAAATCTCCCCTGTCATCACCTGACACTTGTTAGATTCTGTCCTATATACACCAGCTCATTCATCCTAATATTTGAGCCTTGTCTAACTTTGTCAAGATTCACCTGCAGTCCACCCTGACAACCTTTGTTTACTAAAGACTATTACTGCCCCTTGTAAAATCTGCCAGACTTCAGAGCCTAAAGCAGGATATCATAGCAACACTTTCCTTACCCACCAGACTAGAAGCTCTCTCCTTTTGACTGACTGGCAACTTAATTTTACCCTCTTGCCAGCAGTTAAACTTATACAGTACCTCCTGGTCTTGGTGGACACATTCTTGGGATGGGATGAGGCATTCTCCAATACTAACAAATGAGCTCAGACATTTTCTGATCTCCTGCTTCATGAGATTATCCCGCGTTTTGGAATCCCTACCTGCCTCCAGTCAGACAATGGTCCTGAGTTTACTTCTCAGGTTTTCCAGACCTTATCTAAAGCCCTTAACATTCCTTGGTATTGTCATATCCTATACATCCCCAGTCCTCAAGAAAGGTAGAATAAAGTAACAGATCCTTAAAAAAAAATGCTTGTTAAACTATCACAAGAGCTTCACCACGATTGGCTAAAACTCTTCCCCCTGGCCCTTTACAGGCTCCAAGCTCTCCCTAGAAAACCTCAATCTATCTTGCCCTTTGAGCTCATGTATGGAAGACCAGTCCTAACTCCTGGTCTTTCAGCTAAATCCTCATGTCTCCCTAACCACCTACTTACTTCCCTATTGTGTCATCTCCCTTCTCTTCTACAGAACTTTATTGACCACTGTTTACCATGGCCACATACTAACCCCTGTCTATCTCCTATCAACATCAGGGACCATGTCCTTCTTTCCCCTCCAGACCAAAGTCCCCCATGTCTTTCTCCTAAATGGCAGGGCCCTTTCAAGGTGATTCTTGTCACCCCCACAGCTGCTAATCTTGAGGGATTCCCTCACTGGATTCATCTATCTAACCTCAAGCCTTTTATCCCCCTCAATATAATACCCTTTCCTACATATCAACTCCAACAGGACACTGCTCCCTCAATCTCCAGAAGATGCCAAGATCAATTACTTTGTCTCTGGTTCCAGAGAAATGAGGCCTCACTACAGTAGCTGTATTCAACCCTACTGTATTATATATGTATTTTTCCTCCTCTCCCTCTTGTCTATTTCTGTCCAAGATAATCCTTAAAAATGGAGATTCGAGTTTCAAGAAACAATCATTGATAATAAAGTCTTTCCATATAGGTTCAGGAAGTTGCTCTATGGGAGGCTGTTGGAGCCAACTCAAATAGCCATCACCCCCATATCTATCCCTCCACTCTTATTTGATAAATTTTTGTTTGCTTCCTTTTTTATCAAACAAAAGATTATTGCAAAATATCGCCATACAGCTATTAAGGTTGCCCATATTGGTCTTGACAAATCCATGCACCAGCACAGGAGAAGCTCCTTCACCTGTATAAAAAGACTCTACTTATACAGCCAAGACCCTTGGGATCACAGATGGAAAACAGGCATCCTTGGAAAACTCTACCGCTGCTATACACCCAATTTACCAATAAGTACCATCCATATCCAAAGAAAATACATCCCAATTACACAATCCCTGGGGATGGGAGAAGTAGAGAAGGTAATTAAACACTCCCCTAATGTCATTGTGTCTTGACATCCCCCCTCCTAAATAATACAAACCTGCCATTTCGTCTCCTACTTCAGACTCTGACCACGCCTTACAAGCTCCTTAATGTGACCCAACCAGGCCATTTTAAAGCTTGCTGGCTGTGTTTCCCACCTGGGACCAACTCAGAACTACCACTGACAGCTTCTCAGAGTTAACTTAACTCTGTCAAGTTAACCTTACTTCACCATTCACTAACTGCCTTGACTCTGATGTTGCCACAACACCTTACCTTTTAAATATCACCCTCTTTGTTGTGGCAAGCTGTCAAGGCATCTGGGACACACTCTGTAAGAATGCTAAGTTCCTCAGACTGTCATAAAAATATAATCCTTGATAGGTCATCTCAACTCCAATGCCCTACTACTAATAATACCTCAATTTTTTTTTGTGGTACTCTGATCTACCATCATCTGCCTGCTGGTTAGTCAGGAGTTTACACACTTGTACCCCTCTTTCCTGAGCTGGGGTTAATAAACGAAAAGGAGCCTCTACCAATCCAGGTCTTGGACTCAATAGCTGTCCAGCAGGATAAAAGGGCAATTTAATTCTTGTCATTCTTGGCTATTTCAAGAATCGTGGCAGCTGTCAGAACCAGGACTGCAGGGCTAGCCACTTCAGTAACTTTGTATTATCAGCTTTCTTCCCAGTTCATCCAGGACCTCCAACAAGTGGCTCAGACCATATTAACTCTCCAAGGACAGATCAACTCGCTGACAGCAGTAGTACTTCAAAACCAACTTGGACTGGATCTCTTTACAGCTAAAGAAGGTGGCCTTTGCATCTTCCTCCAGGAGGAATGTTGTTTTTATGTCAACCAGTATGGTATAGTAAAAGACAAAATCCAACAACTCCAGAAATATCTACAAAAGCAAAGGGAATAGCTCGAGGCCTCTAGCTCTTGGGCCTATAAGAACCACATAATGCAAGTAGATTCTGCCTCTCCTTGTACCTCTTCTACTTATCTTTCTGCTTTTGCTTTTTGCTCCCTGCTTAATTAACTTCCTCTCTACATTCTTCCAGCAACAAATACAAAAATTCTCTAACCAAACCATTAATCAGTTACTTTAACAATATTTTCAACCTCTGCCTATAGAACTGGATGACAATGACCTTCCAGCCAACCCTGATGGTGGGGAGCAGCTATATCCCTAGAATGACCCTAATTCTAATACCCTAATACCCCTAATCAACAGGAAGTACCTTGAAGAGCAAAAGTCATCCCTATGCCCTCCCCACCATCATCCCCTTACTAGTTCCACATTTAATAAAACAGAAACAGAGAAATGTTGGGATCCATAAGCAGACACCTCTATGTCCAATCCCAAGGGATCCCAAGGGACAAACTGGATCTCAGGCATCTGTGAAGCTACCTAAGGACCATCCAAGTACCACCTGTAACTACCTGCTCATGCTATGGGTCACCTTATAAAAGAAATCATACAATCCCCTCTTTCTCTCCTACACTGCTTGGCGTCAGTCTCTGTGACACCCTCCCCCTTCCTCTAAGTGGAACCAGTCATGTGGTGTGATTTATGAACCAGCTGTATAACTTCACTGCACAGTCCTAACACAGTGGGACAAGGAGAAGCAGAGGGCTGTAAAGTAAATAAATAATGAATGAAAAAAATCCCATGGAGCAGACTCTAGGACCCTACTCGTTAGGCCATACAAATCCTAATAAGCAAAGGTGATGAGAGATGGGTCTCCTTGTAATTACACTAAATTTTCTTTTTTCTCACTTTCTCCCCATCTCTCCTCAAGGCAAAATCGTTATATGTTGTGAGGCAGCCTCCTATGTTTCTCCTCCTTCAGCCTTTCTAATACTGACATTATAGCCATGTGTTACCACACCTGACTTGAAAATGAATTTGTCTATACTATGATTTTCATTTCCTCATCTGTTTTGCTCATTTCTTAAAAATACAGGGTCTTGCTATGTCAGCCAGACTGTCCTTCAACTCTTGCCTGGATTCAAACAAACCCTACTGATTAAGTCTGCCAGATAATTGGAACCTCAATCAATTTGCCACCATGCCCACTTCTATGCACCACATTAATGTTTTGTGAGTGCCTGATGTGTCTTCCTTAGTTATCCCTTGGAGGACACTTCCCAAACAAATGAGTTTGGGTCTGTAGAAATCTGTCAGTTTGGCCCATCACAGAAGGAGTGAGCTGTAGCCACATTCTTTTCTGAGGGTTTCAGGGAGTTCTCCTCCGTCATGGTCAGGAAACCCTGGTGCTCTGATTATACAGAACAGAACACTCCAGAACATGCAGGCAAAGGATGTCCTCTACCTGCAACTATGTTAGATGAATGTGCCTAGCAGTTTAAGCTCTGGCCATGCTTTCTTTCAAAGAGCTGTATTAATTCAGGAGAAACTTGTAGTCATAAAATTGCTACTATAAAAGATTTACTAGTTAACTTACTTAGGAAATGTTATACAAAGAATTTAGCAGAAGGTGCACTGCCTCCACATGACTGGAAGATAACTAGTGTACTAACCAGCTTGTTAAAAACAGTAAGAAAAGTAGAGCTGGGGGTGGTGACATATGCCTTGTAATCCCAGTGCTCACAGAGGCAGAGGCTGGGGATGCTGTGAGCTAGATGCCAGCCTGGTCTACAAACCCCTGGACAGCCACGGCTACAAAGAGAAACCTTGTCTGGCGAGCAATTTGTACTACAATGGAAGTTTAAGTTTTGCTGAGGAAGTTTTCTGCTAATGTTTATTTACAAAGACTGCCCTACAATTAGGCTCTATCCCCATAATAAAAGAAAAAAGACTCTGATTTAGAATCAGCCCCGAAGTCCATTACCAAGTCAAAGAACATATCTAAAACAGTCAACTAAATGGGGCGTGGGTCCCTGATCGGATGTCAGTCCCTTGGTGGGGGTGCTTAAGGGCAACATTTCATTTTTGTTCCAAGACTTTGCTCCATGCAGGACGAGTGATGTCATCGCCACGGGGCTGAATTCTGACTCAGAAAGGGAACATCCTCTTTCCTCTAGCTTCTCGCACTCATGTGCATGTGATGTATTCACTCAACAATCTCCTCCACCCTCTTCAAGGCCCAGGTCACATGAGCCTGTGACATCACTGGAAGTGCAGGAGCTGAAGTGTGTCCCATGTTGCTTTACTCTCTGATGGATGGGAACCCTAGGTGCAGGTCATGGACCCATCGCTGTCATTATCATGTGTCAAGTTCCACCCACGAGCCCACGAACTGGATCTTTTCCCATGTCTGTTTGTATGAGTGACAGGTGATCTGGGTCTGTGGCCCCACCATGATCAGCTTAACTCTGCTTGTCAGGCATTGCCCACACAGTGGTGATATCATGAGAACGGCCTGTTGGGAAAAATTATGTTTATTCCTCACATCGTTAAAAATGAACTGGAAGTCAAGGGAGGGCAAAGTGGGAACTTCCAGTTGCTATGTGCGTAGGGGGTAGTGGAACTTCATGTGACTGGGACGTCAATGTGGTAATGTCATAAGTTCAGCTTCCTATAGGACCTGCAAGATGTCCTTCCTGAGGATCTGTGGGGCCAGAAGTATTTCAGAAGGTCATCAGGGGTCAGGAGAGATTACATGAGATCATCAGGGGTCACCCAGGTTAATTGGCTCAGAGGGGGTTAACAGGGCTGGCACATGACAGACTTGGCCTGCCCCAAGACATCTGACCTCAGAGTTGACTTGATCGTTGTCTGTCACTTTGTCCCTGATCTCCGGGATCCGGGGTAACAGCTCACAGGTCCTAACAAACCTGCGGGGAGGGGTTGAGTCACATGGGGTCAGAGTCGGCGGGGGGGGGAGGTCATGGAGGGTCATGGGAACTCAGGTGTCACCTTTTGCTGAGGAGCCCGAGCCCCAGAGTACACAGCAGGGTCCCGGCTGCCAGCAGCAAGTACAGGTTCATTGTGGGAATTCTGCTCTCTTGGCAGCCTGGGGAGACAGGAAATAGTCATGAGTCAGAGGTCAGAATCTCAGAAGTGCATGGGATGTGCGGGGTTTAGTTTGCTAGAGAAAAAATTGGGGGAAGTCACCAAAAGTGAGTGGGGGGCTCCAGTCACTCCAGCGCTCGCTGCGCACATCGCCAGCCCGGAGGCGCAGCACGTGACCTGGCCTGGGCTCGGGGCTCAGGAAGATGAAGTGGTTTTGCTCCTCACTGGAAATTCGGACCTGCAGTTAGGGGTGAGTGTGGGGTATCGGAGAGGTATGTGTGGCCACGTGAGCATCTGTTGGTCCAATGCTCATGAGGTTAGGGGTCAGGTTTCACCCAAGTGTTCCCCAGGCCTTACCATAGGGTTCCAGCTTCCAGGTTCAACATCCTAGAGGGGGCGGGGCTTAGTATGAGGGCGGTGCCTAGAAAGCACCACTGACACACAAGAGCCTTGAGTGGCCTGGAAACCCCCCAACTCATCCACACAGAAATTGTGGGTCAAAGAAACCTAACTCACACACAACAGGCCATGAATGGCCTAGAAACTCACAAGGGAAAGGCAGGGTAGAAGGGGGCTCAGCCTTGCCCATCCTTTTCCTGTGATGCACCACTCACTCACCTGTCTCTGCACGTCCACCTCGTAATGAAAGTCCCGGAAGGAGAGGCGGGCCCAGGTCCTTGGCCGTGACCATGTGACTTCACAGTGGGATGCGTTGCAAGTCACTGTGACATCACTCGGGGGGCTGAGTTGTTCTGGGTGAGAGAGGGTGGGGCACAGGGGTTCCACCCACAGGGAAAAGGGACAAGAAGTGATTCTATGACGCCTTCTGTGTCCCGCCCATAGAGAAGCAACCAAAAAGTGACCTCATGATAGGTTTTGTGTCCTGCCCACAGGGGGAAAGCAGCTGGGACATGATGTCATCACATCGCCCCATCACTCCTGTGTGCCTGCCCCTCACCACCACCCTGTCACTCTTGTGTCCCTGACCCAGAGGTCACCGTTACCTCACTGTGACCTCACCGATGAGTTTGCTGTTCAAGATAACATCGTGGAACCGCACTTCGGCCTCCTGGCTGACCCCTGTCACAATGATGTAGATGCGATGCGGCAGCAGTGACAGATCGTCCACACGGCAGCCATGGTGTGTGTCAGTGCCCAGGTAGGTGGGGCACTCTCTTGCCGCTACACCCCCCCTGCTGGGGACATCCAAGGAGAGTGACACCCCATAACAGTCAGTGTGGGACTGTGGGAACAGTCCATAATTGTCAGTATGGAATCAGGGACACCTCAGAATAGTCAGCAGGGGATTGGGGAACATAACATCCCCCATGGGTGCAGGGAAGAACAGGTACATCCCATAACACCAGGGGATGGGGAACATCTCATAATACTCAGTGAAATACTGGGATAAAACTCTTTAATAGTGTCAGTGGGGGATTGGGGAACATTCCATAATAGTCAACACGAAAAATGGAACATCCCATAGTAGTCAGTGTGGGAACTGAGAGAACATCCCAAAATAGTGTGGGGATAGGAACATCCCATATTACTCAGTACTGCACTGGGAGCATCCCATAATACTGGGCTAATGAGCTGGAATACCCATTAACACTCAGCAGAGCGGACACAGGGACATCCCATAATACCCCTCTGCTCATTCTGGCCACACCCACGTGGTAACATCACCACTCACCTGGAAGCATCACGAAAGTACAGGAAGTAACGCACGTCATCAGGCGCCGAGGGTCCCACCCCCCAGTTGCAAGTCATGATGCTCGCATTGCGGATGATGCATGTCACATTCTCTGCGGCTGAGCCCTCCAGGCCTGCATGGAGAAGATGGTCCTTGAGCTTGTAAATAATCTTGGGGTAGGGGTGGGCGTGTCTTGGGAGGTAGCCTATCAATCAGCTTTGCTGGGTATGTCTAAAGCAACCTCCTTCCACACTGTCATCAATGAACCAGAAAAGTCCACCTTGTGCCTGGAAGTTGTGACCCTTCCACCTGTGAGGTCAACCAGAAAGTCTGTCCTCAAGCCCTGATATCTCCTTGGAAGACCAGCATGCAACCTGGAAGTCCTTCCCTCAAGAACCTCAACCCGTAAGTTCTTATATTCAACCCAAGAGGCCATCAGCAATTGTGTTATGGAAGTGGGTAGTGACACTGTGATGTCATTACCCTCCCCCCTCCATTGGCGCCCTCACCAGCATTGACATAGTTCAGTTTTCGGTATGCTGGCTGGTGATTGACAGTCCCATTGACCTCTAGCGTGAGCCCGCGGTGCAGGACCATCGGCTGGAACTGGCAGACACATTTCCTTGCCTGGAAGGAGCAGGAACAGAAGTGACTTCCCCCCACACCTGCGCCATGCCTTGGTTTCTCCCTTTAGTTCTGGGCTGAGTGATGACGTCATCCCGCCAGCCCTGTCCTACGAAGCCCCGCCCTGCCCGGTTACTTCTTCTCACTCGGATCCGCCTGTGCCTTGGTTTCCCCTCCGACAGGAGGGGCTCCGTGGCAACACATGATGTCACTGTGATGTTCTCCTGGCATGCCCAGTACAGGCTCCAAGTCCTGGGATCAAAGGTCACATCCAAGGCCAGAGCAAAGTTGGGGTCAGAGAGGGTCACGGCTGTGACATTGAGAAGGGGAAGGAGGAGTTCAGGGTGGCTTTGCCTGTTGCCACCCTGCTGTCATCTCTCATCGGTGACTCCTCCCTCCCCTTCAAGATGTGATAACCTCACGGTGCATGGGCTGTGATGACGTCATCACGTGCATTGGGACCAGGCCTGTCAATTACTCACCAGGAAGCTCCATGGCATGGGAGTGGTCGGGAAAAGTGAGTGTGAAGCACAGCAGCAGGATGAGGCAGGGCAGAGGTGGGCCCATCATCAAAGTGGGGGGGGGCAGGGATTCCTCCTGTCAGATAGAGGCACTGGGAGCGGGTTGGGGGAGAAGAGGTCGCTGGATGGCAATCAATCACACAGGGAAGTGGCATGATCGGTGACGCCACCCAGTCACAGCACCACTTCCTTAGGAATGTGAAGTCACTTATAGCCTCCTGATTCGCTTCCCCAAGAAGATTGCCTGACTTGGAGCTTTTGACCTCTGACCCTTCAATTCGCCAAAAAAGGTGGGCCTGTTGGTACCCAGCCATCAGGTGTCACCCCCCTGATTCTGTGATGTCACCACAAAGGCCCAGCCCATGCCCTGACATTAGCCTCGCCCACATTCCTTTCATCCATCCATACCTGAGCAGAAAATGGCTGGAGCCACCTGGATTCACTTCCTGTAGTGGGGTCCAGTGTTGGGGACAAGAGTGGGTGGGGGAACAACCTGTCAGTTCCTAGTTCCCTGTGACACCACCGAGAGCGCCCTGCCATTGCCCTAATGTCACCCCTGCTCCCTATCCCTCCTGACTCTGACCTGAGAACCCCAAGCCCAAATCTAGGGGGAAGCTCTGCTTCTTGTTAGGGAGAAGTGCTGTCCAGTGCGACCACCCAAGGCGGTTATTATTTCCCCCGTGTGATATCACCAGAAGTGTTCCTTCCTCTCTGCCAAGGATACCGGGACTCACTGAGGAGCTACAGCAGGAGAATGCCCATAGAATGGAATTTGGAGTGGGTTTTGGGGGGCGAGGGTCCTGCCTCCACTTCTGGTGATGACAAACCCCCTTACCTCGGTTGCTGTTGTGGGGTCACCCGGGAAGCTTGGGGCTGGGTTTGTCTTTCAGTCTGGGTGTCAGTTGCTCCTGCTTCCTCATCTCGCAGTTGGGAAATCCGGAAGAGGAAGGAGCCAGGCGTGATTGACAGCTGTCAGCCGGCGCTGGAAGTGATGTCACGCCCTGTTGGATGTGTGCATCTCCCCCCTACACACACACACACACACACACACACACACACACACACACACACACA